ATATTTTCATTTGGGTTTTGGATAACGGATGCCAAGAGAATGCGACAGCAGTGTTCTTCTTCAGAAATCCTCACAGGCGAAAACCACCATATAAAGGCACATTTTTGTAGGCCAAAACCAGGAGACGAGCATTTAAGCACTTCTGGTTGTATCGTCCTGAAGTCAGCGTTTTTTTAAATGGGTTTTTGGTTAAATGTCTGATTTAAGTTATCTGGTTAACACAAGCTCAAGATGTTTTCATGTTTTATTCCATGACATAAAATACATCAGTACACCCCCTTGTGATTTTTTTTATGCTTTTACTTGTCTTGAAAAATACGGTTGCTATTGCTATTTTGTAGAGTTTGCCTACAAAAATAGACAATATTGTCCCTAGGTTGGATTTATCCACCTTATTTTGTAATGCGGAAGTAAGCTGTTTTCTGTGAATGTGCGAGACTTGCAGTTCATTATTCGCAGTAGGGAAATAACGAGAAGAAGAACAAAGTGCAGTAGACGGCAAAACTGTTTGCACTACAAACCACTGTGTTCATAATTAAGATAATACATTAAAAAAAGGTAAGACACACCAGTTAGCAATATCAAGCAGCAAAACGAGATGTTTTGTTCAGCTAAACATAGCTGGAAGCGAATGACGCCGGAAGCCAGTCCCATAAATTTTCAAATAGTCGCGCCCACTCTTACGGGAAAAATAAGGTGGATAATGCTGTGTTAATAGTTTTATGTTGCAAGAATTTCACATTCAATCTTCAGCTTTATGTAGAAACAACATAAGGACAGTATGTTTTTAATATTTGTTTAATGGCATCTTTTTTTATGACTGAATGCAAGTATCACTGATACCAATTTTATTGATATCTCCATGAAATTAGAATTTTTTCCCCTCTTATATTTAACCCTTGACTATAGCCATTCAACAGTATAATTGAGAGCTATCAATTTTAACATTTATTAGACTTATAAAAATAAAATAACTTCTCATTTAAGTGAACTTAAAACAATCTTCACACAAACCCATTATAATAAATGTCATATTTACCTGTGCCCTTCAGCAAGTAGGAAATCTACAGCAATTGAATAAAGTTATCAAACACTAAATTCTAAAATGAAATATAGATGAATCCTTAAAGCTACAAAAGATATTGATTTCCTCTTTTTTCTTTTGTTCTTTGATTAACAGACACCACTGCAGCTGTATATTACGTTATTTGGCTGCTATTACTCTAAGAGCTGCTGCAACTGAACATGACGCGGATCTGACACGCATGCTTTTCATTTCATTCGCGCTTTAATATGAAATGATACAGGCTACAGCGCGTGATGGCATATTTGTGCGTGCAATTGAAAAGCACGCGCTATGAGCATAGTAACGGCTGACAGGAAGATTAGTTTTTACTGACATATGTCACCTTTTCTGTTTCCGCGATCGTTTGACTAGCACCTGGCACTGAGGTGAAGTTGAAGTGCGCGTCTGAAAAGTCCCCCTTTTGATGTGGTGAAAAGATGTTCTGCATTTAAATAAACGCAATTATTTTCAAGAAAAAAGAGACAGAAGCAGCAGCTGCGAGTGGGGTGGCCAACCTCCGCCCCTGCGTTAATTGCGTTAAATATTTTTAACGCCGTTAAACTGGAAAAATTAATCACCTGCGTTAACGCACTAAATTTAGACAGCATTGTTTTATACTGATAATTCGGTATGCATGCTACTATGATGAGACAAATAACTGTTAACTAGATGATGCAGGATTTTCGCCAGTGCTATTGTTTAGCTTTTTGAAGTGGTAGCTAATACGGGTTGGCTGGGCTCCTCAGAGGAGAAATGTCCAGAGCTCGGAGATTGAGTTTCATTTAATCTCACTCCGGTTTGAATCGTTTTGAAGGGCTCTCCATAGTTTTTCATCATGTGAGATGAATGGAAGAATTAGATTTATTAGGCCGCTGTAGTTCTTAGGGCAGCCTTGTAAAGAATGTTCTAGGATGGGGGTTTTTGATCGTAAGTGCTGGTGCTTTGGTTCAAAGCGGGATAGAATGAACTCCTGGTGGAAAGACACTCTTTCGACGGCTCTCCAAAGCTGTCATCTCTGGAAGACCTCTCAAGGAGACTCTTCCTTCGGTTGCTTCATTTTTATAATCATTTCCATCAGCTCGCAATTTCTCTGCCTCTCTTGTTCTCTCTCAATCTTTTTATGTACGTATACTTCCAGTCAAGATAAAGATTTTAAAAAATGTTTTTGAAAGAAATCTCTTATGCTCACCAATTTTTTAAATCCAAAATACAGTAAAAACAGTTAAATTGTGAAATATTATTAAAATTCTAATTAACTGTTTTCTATGTGAATATATTGTAAAATGTCATTTATTCCTGGGATGCAAAACTGAATTTTCAGCATCATTACTCACATGATCGTTCAGAAATCATTCTAATATGCTGATGTGCTGCTTAAGAAACATTTCTGATTATTATCAATGATGAAAACAGTTGTGCTGCTTAATATTTTTGTGGAAACCATAATTTCAGATTTTTGAACAGCATTTATTTGAAATATAATTTTTTATAACATCAAATTGTCTTTATTGTGACTTCTAAACAATTGTATGTCTCCTTCTGAATAACAATATTAATTTCTAATTAAATTCTGTATGTATTTTTGTCATTTTTATTATTTTTTTTTGTTTATTTTTTATATTACTATAGGGTTCATGTATTTTTATTGCACTTTAAGTTTTCATTTCAGTTTTCAATTAAATTTTTATTTATTTCACTTAGTAATTTTGGTGCTTCAGCTTAAACATATTTCAGTTAGTTGCCAAGGCACCAAGGCGACTTTTTTAAATTTTTTATTTAGTTTAAGTCTAAAATATTTATTCTCTCTCTCTCGCTCTCTCTCTCTCTCTCTCTCTCTCTCTCTCTCTACTGCTGGTTCGTCTGGTCAGAGGAGAACTGGCCCCCCGACTGAGCCTGGTTTCTCCCAAGGTTTTTTCTCCATTCTGTCACCGATGGAGTTTTGGTTCCTTGCCGCTGTCGCCTCTGGCTTGCTTAGTTGGGGACACTTAATTTCCAGCGATACCGTTGACTTGATTGCAAAGATACTATTTAAACTGAGCTGGATGTTGACATCACTGAATTCAATGATGAACTGTCTTTAACTGAAAAATTAGTGTTTACTATTGTCATTTTGCATTATTGACACACTATTTTCCTAATTAATGCTGTTCAGTTGCTTTGACACAATCTGTATTGTTAAAAGCGCTATATAAATAAAGGTGACTTGACTTGACTTGATAGGAACACACACACCATCTGCTTTCTCTGTAGACTTGTTTACGGTCTTGAACGGCTCAGGGTTTTTGAAGACATCTTTTAATGAACAACACCCAGCCGCTGACCTGTATTTTTCATTCAATGAAAGCTCCCCCTGTAGCAGAGGGACGTGACCGCTTTGGAGATGATTTACCTCTAAAGACAGACTATAAGCACGTACAACCAGCCTTATCAAGCGTCCTGTGAAGAGCATAGTGTTGAACTCTTACCTTGTCTTGTGTAAAATAATATTTGTTGAACTTTTCAGAATGTTATTGGCAAAAACTTACATAAAAGTAAATGTTATATGGGAGTAATTCTCAGGAAATGGTGCCATTTGTGTGCTGTGTGTGTGCGTCATTGACTTACTATTGATGTGAATACACTGCTGTTTAAGTTTGGGGTCGGTTTTTGAAAGATTTAATAAAGAATTTTGAAAGAATTCATACTTTTATTTAACAAGAATTCATGAAATTGATCAAAAGCGACAGCAAAGACATTCATAATATTACAAAAGATTTTTGTTTCAAATAAATGCTGTTCTTTTGAACTTTCTATTCATCAAAGAATCCTGAAAAAAATATATATCATGGTTTCCACAAAAATATGTAGCAACAACTATGATATGTAGCAAATCAGCATATTAGAATGATTTCTAAAGGATCATGTTACACTGAAGACTGGAGTAATGATGCTAAAAATTAAGTTTGATCACATGAAAAAATTACATTTTAAAATGTATTATAATAGAAAACACTTATTTTAAATTGCAATAATATTTCACAATATTGAGGTGTTTTTTAATCAAATAAATGTAGCTTTGGTGGCCATAAGACTTCTTTCAAAAAATGGTTATGTATAAATATGGATATAAAAGGATTACATGTGAATTTTGAGTAAATATTGTGTGAAATCAGATCTCATTGGGGGTTTAATAGTTTATGAAAGGGCCATTGAAAACGTATATTTGTTAAATAGAGATCTCCCTGTGCTGCTTCTGTAATATCTGGACCTGTTACTTTGAGCCTGAGGTGCTGCAATACTGGTTTCTTGAACCTTTTTGAACAATAATACAAATACTACAAATTTCCTGAGAACAACCCATGAGTCTTTGATTGTAATTGCTTTCAAAAGCTGCTAGAGCTCATAATAAGGTTTTAACTCTTAAACTGCATAGATTCACACTGAAGTGTTCACACAGAGACAATCACTCTGAATCAGCGCTGTGATCACATGTTCATAGTTAATGCATGCATATATGCATATGTTTGTGCATACCGTATGTTGAAATGGTTTTTGACGAGGGCTACTTCATTAACAGCTACAATAAAAGAAACTGATTTGAAATGAAACATAGTGTATTTTTTTAAATTGCATATCTGATTTCTTTTCAATAACCTCAATATGGCACAACAGCTATCCATTGAAAAGAAGAAATTTCACCTTTGTGCTAATGCAATCAGAAGTAATGTTTTTCTGTGCTGTTATTACCATTACAATTTCAATCTATTTTACCTTGCACCTAAGCACACGCTCTCTCTGCATCTAGAAAAAATGTGTCAGGATTGCGTCCGCAGTTGATTGTAAATTGTTTTTTTTTAGAGCATGAGTGTCTGAAGAGGGATCTTTAAGTGTTGTTTTATAAGGTAGACCTACATTTTTATACATCACTCACTCTTTTAATATTCTCTCTCTGCAGGTGTTGTCTAGTTTACATCCTGAGTGTGAGTATATCTTTCAGCTGGCAAGAGATGAACAGCGGTGTCTCAGAGAGATCACAGATCTTGGAAACCTCAGCAGCTCTTCAGGTAGAAATAAACAGACGCTCCTGATGAGATGTTGAAGGGGTTTTTACCCACAGCATGTGAGATGCATGCTAAACAGCACTGAGTTTCAATTGAGAGCTAATGGAGACTTTTGTTGCTTCTCAGATTTTTCTCCTCAGAAACTGTGTTTGAGATGCTATATTTCTGCAATCAAAAGCCAGAGGTCTCAATATGCACATTTCTCAGTTTTATCCAAGGCTAAATTACATGATCGTTCAAAAGGTTGGAGTCATTAAGATTTTTAAATGTTTTTGAAAAGAAGTCTTCTTTTCATTTAACACTGCCATAAGCTGTCAGTGGTGACATTCAGAGACAGAGTTGAGTACGAGATCACACTCATTGTAATGCAGTGCCTTGCGTTTGCGTTCTCCAGTGGATCCCAGAAGTGAAGTCGTGTTTGGCAGCAGCTTTGCAGGAGATTCACATGCACAGATGTACTTGTGGTGATCCAACATGGCAAACTGGAGATTGATAGAGCAAACTCTAGCTGTTATGTGCCACAGAAAGCCTTTCGGATACATTGTTTTCTTGATGTTTGGTGCTTGAGTGCATGGGTAAAAACATTCTCTTTGTGTGTGTGTGTGTGTGTGTGTGTGTGTGTGTGTGAGAGAAGGTTGTCTGCCAGTATGGGATGCTGTAGTGTGTTGGCCCAGAGCTGCAGCGGGTGAGACAGTCCACTTGCTCTGTCCTGCTGTTTTCTCTCTCTTCAAAAACAACACAGGTGCGACACACATACACACCATCCACATCAAACTTGTGCATGATTCAAAACTGAAGTTAAAAATGACAGTTCAGTACCTGAATGTGAATTAGGTAAAGGTGGCAAACTGGATGCATAATTGCATAATATATATTTGTGTGTGTGTATCATATTTTATATGTATTTAATTAAGAATGAAATTAAAACTTTGGGCTGTATTAGTTACAATCCAAATGCAAATAAATGTATGTACCAGTATTATTTGATTAATTTTTGTATTTTTTAAAATTAAATATCCATCCATGCATGTTATTATTATATTAATAACCAACATTTCAGATAACAATTCATATAACAATATTTTTTAAATAAAAATATTGAATTATTAATTAAAATATTGTATTATATGACTAACCAATTAAATTTGATTAAATGTTTTAATGTGATTTATCCATGTACATTATTTTATAGCATTAAATTAAAACATTGAATTATTATAATAACCGACATTTGAGATGTAACAATTCATATAGCAATATTATTTTATAAATTAAAATTATAAATAAAATTATCCATGCATGTTTTGAATTATTAAATTAATTGTTAATTTAATTATATCATAAAATTAAAATATAAGATTTTTTTTAATAAGCAACATTTGAGATGGTAACTATATTTAATAATACTTAATTAACTAACTTTAATGGAATAGTTGAAAACTATTAAAAAGAATGTTGTGGGCATTTTGTGGTGCTTTTTGGCAAAATTACAACATTTTCGATTGGCAGTGTTAATTGTTTTGACATCACTAATAGCACTTAATGAAATACACATAATAGAAACATAATTGGGCAAATTATGTGCTTATTTTTGTTTTGCTAGATCTCAAAATGTCTGGAACAGAATGTCATGGAGACTTATTGGTTGACTCTTTGGATTCGAGAAATCGAAATGTTTCTGTCTAATGAATTGAAAGAGAGTTTGCTCAACCCTGCTCCATACATGCATTTCCACATTAACAGCTTCTGCGAGCAAACCAATTGGTTTCAGTCTGTGAGCTTTAACAATAGACACATCTACCTTGAGCATATAAATGGAATCCTCAAATGGTAAAATGCACAGCCTCAATTTCAAGGCTTTGTAAGTTTGAGCCAAAGAAGGCAGGCTTTCATATTTGCCAGTGTAATAACATCTCAGAGTCTCCACAGATCTGCCAGTATAACAAACTAAACCCGGTCTGAGCCCGGCCAAACACTGCATTCAAATCTGAAAGCTCTCAAATGAAATTGTGCTGCTGCAGTTTCGTCTGATGGCGACTAAAGCAGCACTCCATCATTGTATCTCTGTCTCGTGTAGAAAAGGATACAGACCTCATTTCACATTCAGCTTTAGCACAAGCTAACTTTATGCATTGCATCTCATTCTCTAGAGAAAAAGTAAGTGCAAATCGCATGAAATGCCAACTTGTGTTTATTCATTTATTTTGAAGAACATTTTTTTTTTTTTTTGCCTTTTTTGAAAAGCTTGCAGAGATTGTCTTGAATTCTTGTCATTGACCTTTGACCCTTAATTCATTGCTCTAGGTATAGTGAGTCGTAACTGCACGGCTGGCGGCTGGTCACATCCGTTCCCTCCTTACCATGAGGCCTGCATTGTTGAGGATGAAATCCCCGAGGTCAGACATATTCTGAAATTCATACTTGCATATATTTGATAATCATTTCCTATTTATCCATACGTTTTTGCTTAAATCCCCTGCTTCTCAGGTTGTTCTTCCGAGTAAAAAACACCGTAATCTCACATGAGCCTCCTCTAGTTTCAGAAGAGATCTCAACGACGTTTCAAACTGTGCTTAGATTTGTAAAGACAGTCAATAATCTCAAAATGAACTCAAACATTTCACATCAAATTACTCCAAGACCAATAGCTCTATAGTCGTACTGTGTATGTCAACAATTGTCTTTTTTTGTTGACAATTTTAGACATCTGAGACAATTGAATCTTAAATTAAACATAATTGAGATCTTTAGCCATATGCATACAGTATATCATAATTCTCACTGGGAAATGTACTTATAAATGGCTTATAGTTTTAAAAGTGCTTTGAAAGTTTTTCATTTTATGATGAAATAAATTGTGTTAATGTACAGTATAAATAAATTAATACATTAAGAAGTAATTAAATTTACAAAATAATTTTATTGACTAGATTTAAATCAAGTAACATTTCTTAAATTATTTTTAATATTTTATTATATTTAATATTTATATGTATGTAATATTTCTTTCTTTCTTTCTTTACTAAAGATTAAAAATTATATCAAATGTTAATACATATATTTGAATTCTTATTTTTCAGAATAAACAGGCTTTAGGCTTTCACAATCATGTCTGTCTCCATTATTGTAGTCGGCTTATAGTTCAAAAAGTTTTCAATTTTATTATGAAATAAATAAATACATTTAGTTAATTTACAAATAAATGAATGCATTCATTATAAAGTAATTGAAATGACTAAAATATTTAAAAGACTCAATTTAAATTGATAGATTTTTTTTTTTTAAACAAAAAAAACCCCAAATATATAATATTTTAGTATGCTTATTTTGAGGCTTTAGGCTTTCACAGTTATGTCTGTCTGTCATAACTGGTAATTAAATGAAATCAAATTATTTTTCATTCATTCGTCATTTCATCAAGTGTTGGATTTATTGGCTGACTGATGTGCAGATTGATTGATTTACCTCTTTATGTTTATTGTATTTAAACAGACTCTGAACTGAACAATGTAATTGATTTCTGCACGTTTATCCCTCAGGAGTCATATTTTGCCACTGTGAAACTGATCTACACTGTTGGTTACGGAGCGTCACTGCTGTCGCTCTCTGTTGCCGTGGTAATACTACTGCTATTCAGGTACTGTGCTTTACAATGCTTTCTTACCATAGATGCAAACTCCTTGATCAAAATAGGTCACCTTTGAGAGTTGCTTAGATCCAATGAGAAAGTGCTTTATTGGGGGTGGGGGGTACTTGTGATCTTACACGGATAAATAAAGAACTGGGGCTGGTGTTCTGACAAATAATGCTACCTATCAGATTATGCTACCAACACTGTATTTATCCTACTGTAAGGGTAGGGTTGGGGTAGGTGTACATGTTAATAAAGCCTCACACCTTATTAATATCATGCTGGAAGCAAAATCTGATAGGTAGCACTTTTCGCTGTCGAATTATGCTACCATCTGTTTTAATGGGAGGTAGCAAAATCTGACAGGGTAGCACAAATCGTCAGAATACCGGTTGCAGACTGGTCATAACTTTTTATATTCAGTAATACAAAGGTAGACTGGTCTTATTCGTATTGGAAAAGACTCATAACCACTTGGCAACTGCTAGTAAGTTTTGTATAGTATTTTCTTTACTCTTTACTAAACTATCTTGGTCTAATCAGCCCATATTGTCTTAAATAGCCTGCATAACACTTCATCTTTTATAACATGGGATTTTGACCAAATATATTCAATCTTGATTTTTGTAAAATGTTGCAACAATTTTGTGTTATTTTTTGTGTGTGAAAAATTACAGTTTTGGACATATAAGGTAATAAAAAATATTTTAAAAAATACCTTAAAGTAACTACAATTGAGCATGTAAAACAAATATCGTTTAAAAAAATTCCATGTGGAGCATGTCCCCGGTTCTCGCCATTTTTCCCCCTTACCTGTTTGCATCTCTGCTTACTGATGGACTATAAAAAACCAACCCCCAAATCCAACACGCATCACTGATATATGTTATTATAAATAATTGCTTTAATGTAGTTAGATTCATGTGAGTACCCTTTAGCATGTCTAGCTACCTTTTTACACAAACTTGTCATCTTTACCTCTTTAAATAAGCTTGTAGCTTGGAAACTATTTTTAAAGTAGTTACTGCAACACTGGACAAAGGCTCAACTGTTGTTTGTATTCTATAGGCGATTACACTGCGCTCGAAACTACATCCACATGCAGCTGTTTTTCACCTTTATCCTGAAATCGGTGGCTGTGTTTGTCAAAGATGCTACGCTGTTCTCCGGTGACGACACAGATCACTGCACACTCTCCACAGTGAGTACATCAACGACCCTCTGATCTAACAGCCTTTAAATGTGGTTTCCTGTGAGAAGAACAAAACACACGCTGCTTGTGACCTCAATGACTCAACGGATCTGTGACAGTATTTTTTTTTTATATTCTTAACTGTATTTATATTTGACATTCCTCCTGACTCCATTCATCATCTTAGATGATTTTTGTCAGTAGTCACAATGCATTCTGGGATTGGCTTCTTCAGGAATAATAAATGCGATGCTGTGCATCTAAACCAGGCACATTGTGACAACAACAAAATCACAGCCAATCAATGTTTAAGGACAGAAAAAACAAAAAAACTGAATTTAAATTATTAACTGAATTTAAATCTCTTTCAAAGGCGTTCAAAAAATGTGGGGTCTTTAAGGTTTTTTAATATTTTTTAAAGAAGTAAATAGAAAAAAAAAACTAAATTACCAAGGATGTATTTATTTGATTAAAAATATAGTAAAAACATTAATATTGAGTAGCTTTCTGAATATATTTTGTAATGTAATTTATTACTGTGATGTAAAGCTGAATTTTCAGCATCATTACTCCAGACTTCAGCGTCACATGATCTTTCAGAAATCATTCTAATATGCTGATTTGCTGCTCAAGAAACATTTCTGATTATTGTTAATGTTGAAAAAAGTTGTGATGATTCACATTTCTCAGTATTCTTTAACGACTACTAAGTTTAAAAGAACAGCTTCATTTAAAACAGAAATCTTTTGTAAGATTATAAATTATATATATA